AATGTTGTTTCTGTAAAGGTGATCTGTGTTTTAACAAGCTGTGCTTTTTTAACAGACCACCTCTTTTTCCATATTTGTTAAAGTCTTTATAACTGTTTCATTGTTAATGTATTTATGCTAGTTTACGATGAACTTGTTACTACTGTTACTGAATGAAATATTTTTTTTATGCAAGTGGAAAGAAATAAATAAATCTTGAATCTTGAATCTTGAATCTTGGTTTACCAAACTGATATCATTTCATAAACACCCGCCATTATCAGCTTGGTCTTGGGTCAATCGCTCTCCTTCGTCACCTCAAAGACATATAGACCCAGACCCAACTATTTGGGTCTTTGAAAATTATGATTTTGTAAACCAGATACCAACAAAGCCTCAAAATGCCTGGGAATCAGCCTAATATAATTAGCTACGACAATGTAAAACGAAAATATTGCACAATGTCGCTGCATTTCTTTTGGAAATGAAGTACATTTTAATTCACTCACCTCTTTTTTCCGTATAACTACGTAAAAGTCTGCATGTATGGTATATCAAATCAGTAAACGTGTATACTATTTGTCTGTATAATTCAACGGTGCACCGATCAAATATGGTAGTACTATGTACATGTGTGTGCTTAATTCGTCAATCTATTTTTTATGACAGCTGGGAATTCCCACCGACATTTGACAAAAGAGCAAATTGAGGTTGTAACGTCCTAAAAGTGATCTCCTAATAAAAACTCGATCTTATTTTGTCAATTTACCGTCTGTCGAGAAAATATTTGCCCTGGTCAAACTTGAATTTTATTTGTGTCCCCCCCCCCCCCTTTACGAAAACATGCTGAACATTTATTATAGTTTCGGATTATTTGAACCTATACATGTATAAAGATGGAAATTACCAGGTGACAAATAATGTTTCGGAATCACATAGTATGATCCACAGTGGACTTTCCATTGTAAGAACAGTGTGGAATCTTTGAATATGACTAAAAGCTTGCTCAGATATGGCGTGGTAAGCTGCAGCATAAAGACACTATGGCAATTCTTTTGCGTGTAAATTAATGGCAGCTGCACGCAACAACAGTCCTATCTGAACGAGACTGTCTCTTAGTATGTACCTCATCAGCCAGGTAACAGTAGACGGGCCACTCTACAAAGATGTTGGAATCCCCGATGACCTTGAGTAGTTGGACCGAGTATGATCATCATCAGGACACAAGGGACTGACCATCAAAAAGTTTGGAATACATGAAGATTATCTGGACAATAATTTTCACCATGGCACATTGGGCAAGCTAATCTAAAAACAGTTTGGAATTCCTAAGCAACTAAAGTTTGGACTCGGTACGATTCTCACGGGCTAATGATGGCCTCATCAATGTACAGATTGTTTGGAAAATAAAAGAAAATGATCATCATGTCGCTAGATGTGGACTGTCCATTGTGCTGTTTGAAAGCCATGAAGAATATGAAAAGTAATATCAAAGTTCTAAACAAAATGAAAATTGTTCTCGTTAGCAGCTCAAATGAATTGCCCGTCAACTTGATGTTATCAGTCCATATCCTTGTTGGTCTATACCCTTCTTTCTTCTTCCATCAGTTCTTCCTTGCAAGATGGTGTTTTTAAAGCTAGTCTTCCATCTAGTTACATGCACAAACCACCGTAACTGTCTTCTTTTCACAACTGTGATGAGGTGATCACATTCCCCTATATAACTCTCCATTATCTCTCTTTCTCTCTCACTTTCTCGTTGTCACACTAGGAATGTCTATATTCTTACTCTGATGTTTTTACAAGTACTGTAACTCCGTAAATGTGCTTGAATTCTTTTGATGATCATCATGAAAGTACATGTACTTATTTTTTCCTTGGTTTTGGCGTCAACTGTCAGTTCTAACGCCACAATATGCTAGGGGTTAGGGTTTTCTCTTTTTAAAGATATTTGACAAATTTATCAAGAAAGACGCATAAACAAGTAAAACTAATTATGATTACTCATATGCACCCGCACACTTAGACACACCTTCTTGTTCTCTCTATTCTCTAACACATACACATGCTCATAGACCCCCCCCCCACACACCCACTATTTCTTCCAATTTCCTCATCTTATTCAATGCCTCATTCAACCATCACTTCTTCTCTTCCTTCCTCTTTAAAATCATCTATTTCTTTCAGTATATATTTTTATCTGCATCATCATTCTATTTTCGTCAAATTCTCCTGTATATTTTGTTGTAATTATATTTCTATATCCCTTCATTTGGTTTTACAAGCTGTACAAGAAGAACTTATTTCATAGTTCTTATGGCATTCCAAAAGTTTGCTAGTCTGAAAACATTTCCAACATGTAACTTTGATAGTCTAAAACCACCTTAAGTTTAAAGGGTAATCTGACCTTAATAGCAAACTACTGTAAAAGAAAGTACAAGAAGCAGACTGTTGAAAGTTGAAATAAAATCTAACAAAACAAGAAAGTTATGATTGTTTTATTTCAAGTTATAATCACATTAAGTGTGGGCAATTCAAATGGGCTGTGATGTAGCGCCAGACAATTTTCCAATTTCTTTGAACACAAAAAATTGATAAAAAACGTCAATTTGACAAAATATGAGATCGGGGTGTATTTTTTGTTTGGATTGCCCTTCAATGCACCTCTCATGCATACAGGCGCGGATCCAGGATTTCTTAGGGGTGGGGGTCCAATTTTTTTCTATTTGCCGGCCGAAAATGCGCTCAGTGGGGGGGGGGGGGGGTAGTGAACACATTTTTTTTTGCCCTCGAAAATTTGAAAATTTGCACCCCCCTCCCCCTGGATCCGCCCCTGCTTGCATAAAAGCTTTTTCAATTGTGCCATATACAAAATTGATGTCAAATTCAGACTTAATTCGATGTGAATCTCGAAATTTATTTGGTAACCAAAATTAAAGTTTAAACACCACAGATTTTATATCATGTTTTGTAAATATATTTCATGAACACATATTTGTACAATAACTATAGCTTAGTTGCAATTCAATTCAATTCACCATTGCTAATAAAGAATACCATACATACGTGTACATAAAATGACACATTGTAAAATGATAATAATAGAAAACACGTTAATACACTGGTACAAAGATATCAAAGATGCTTCTTAGGTAGCAGCCAGAAAGGAAGTAACCTTTATAAGTGGCCGACCTAAAGAAGATATAACCCTCTGAAGTATCTTTCTTTAATATATACTTCTTCGTTTGTTGTTGATAAAAAACGATCGAAGCTATTACTCCACACACAAGGCTCCTCTTCCTCTTTGCACAGACGAAACGAAACATGTGTCAGACCAGTGTTTCACGAAACCATCATAATAAAGCGCAATTAAGTTCGCCGAAATCCAGTTGAAATGCGTGTATTATGATAAACACGCGTTTCAAGGAGACGTCGGTGAACTTACAAGGAATGACGGTCTCTTGAAACGACGCCCAGACCGACCAGTGACCAAACAAGAAATAGCATTTATTTATACACAGAATGGAAAGAAATGATCGGTTTGGAAAGGTTTGTGAGGTTGTTTTGGAGTCGGTTTAGCGGTGTGACTACAGTATCATGGTCTCATATGGGGGTGAAATAATGATAGACAAAATTGAAACATGGGACGTCTATGCAGGGCCACTCTTTGTAACGGAAGGGTTGACCTTGAGTTTATTATCGACAATTTAAAAAAAAAAGTACCAGTAACCGATGTCCACTGCTTAATAATAACCAAAAGTAAAAATACAACAATTCAGGATTGCTTGCATTATTATATTTGTGTATATCAAAATTAGTCAGGTGCTTAAACTTAAGAATCAATGCATGTACCTGTATAACGTCATGATCATTATAGCAATGGCACGAGCAGAAGAAAAAAAAAGGAAATCCACCTGACATCACGTTGATGAAGAAAGCTTAAGAAACGGAGGAATAAATTTATTTCAAAAAAAAAATAATGCAATTGTGAAGTTTTAAGCCCCCTGTATATCGGCAACCCTACCTACGATCACCTCCCCAATTATTTTCTATGGGAAATGTCCCCAAATTATCTTCTTTAAAAAAGAAAATGTGGGTGGTAATGTACTCGATTTACACACAGGAGGACCTATAAGAACAAGTTTACAATTTTATGTTTCTGCCATAGGTATGACAATGAAAATGGTAGGGTGATGTTAATGAAATGTTTAGAACAAAACTAACAGAGAATAGCTTTAGAATAACACATTTTCAGAATGTAATAACAGTTATAAAGACTAGTATCTATAATTGTTCTGCTTCCACTGAATTCAGTGAAATTCCTTTCCAATAGATACTATATATTATTTTTGAGACACTTATGTCTATCAACAATATATTAAGGACAGAAACTTAAATAAATGGAATCACAGACAAAACGAAATATCGGACAGTAATATGTAGTGCTTTGTAAATAAAGACCATAAAAATTAATCGTATTAAACGGCAATACATATAAAGTCGATTACTAGGATTATTATCTCTGACCTAAAAATAGTCCACAATCGAATTGTATCTACATCATTTATACATTATAACAACTACCAAAAAAAGTTAAATCAACATGTAGAGTTATCATAAACAACAAAATCTCAAAAGATAAACACATTTGAAGTATGTTAAAAGAAAGGTCACTCTTTTTTTCTTCTTTTTTTAGAATGATTTAATCATTCAAATTGATCTACATTATTTAGGAGTGTCATTTTAAAACATTCACCCAAACTCCATTTCTACTAGTTCAAGCTCTAACTTATTCCTCTAAGATGTTGTACTTCCTTTTTAAAGTCATAGAACACCAGGTCTATTATATAGAAGCTTTTGAAAACAAGGGGTGGAAAGGGGTCCGCTTTCAAAGAAGTACTATGTTTTATCTTACTTTAAATCTGCCCGCGTGCCTGTTTTTACTAGATAAAAGGGTCCGGTCGCACATACGGGCCTGAAGACAGAGATACAGTGTAAGAAGGAGGAGTCATACATTATTTTCAGTGGAATATATAGAGTCTATCAGGAGTACAGAAAGCGATCTCTCCTGATCGGTACTGCTGGAGATAGTACCACCGTCTATCAGGCTTCTCAATCCTGTAATCAATGACGATGTTCCGGACATGCTTCAGCTCGTTAGTGTACTCATCAATGCTGACCAAACCTATATCGTTCTTCCTCGTGGCTATCAGGATTGTATTCTCTTGAGACACAGCAGAGTGTAGGTAATCACCTAATTTCGTTAGTTTATATTTTACAACACCTTGTTTGTCAATCAATCGTATTGTCTGACAGGATTCGATGATCAGGTAATCATTATAACTAGTAATCTGCTCAGGTATATACCCATCACAGGTTATCTCCGTGGTCGCCTTCCCACCTGCTGGTGAGAATACCTGGATCTTCTTGGCTGAATAGTAGCTAACATAGATCTGATCATCACCGTCGACAGCGAGGTTAGCAAATCCACCATCATCGTAACTCAGAGTCTCAAACATTACATTCAACTTTGTGTACTCTAGTGTGTACAGTGTGATATTGTTAAGCGATGAGCGATCAAGTATAACATACCGATCATCAGAGAGAAACCCTACTCCAAGAATCTTTACATCCTTGAAAGCTTTCTCCTGGATCTGGCCATCAGCAGAGAAGATCTCCACTCCACCTTTACCACAGCCCACTGCCATCCTACCGTCTGGTGTACTAACCATGGCATTCATGTTACTCTTACGGGGCAAAGCGATGCTCTTTGCAATTGCATTTACGATTTTACCGAGACCTAGCTCGTCTATTCCAACGTTCCTATTAAAACTGACACATTTCCCTTTCTTGCTCGATTGCCTCGGTTGCTTGTAGTCAGGATCTTTTTGTTTTAAGGCCTCTTGTAAGTCTTGACATAGGGTGTCGTGTGCAGCCAAAGCATCCATATCTAACGGTATCTTTGTCTTATTGGTTACCATGTCAGATATCGTGGTCAAGTGAGTGATGTGCTTCTGAGCCAATTTCTTCATTTCGTCCAGTTCCTTCTCTACTCCTTCGATCCTACCATTGACTTCACCAATGAGAATTTCTTTCTTCTCTGTCAACTGACGGACTGCTTCTTCATATGCTTTTTTGATATCATCTGTACACTGCTTCTGCACATTGGTCACACGCTCCTTCTGTTCATCAATGAAATCAACGTATTTCTGAAAGCAAGCGCGTTTCTTGTCCGCCTTTGATTTGAGGTCCTCGCTACTCTTCATATGGCTTCTTTCATACACAGTTGCCTCGATGATCCGATGTCCTTCGTCTTTATGATCCAAGACAACACACCTGAAGCAGGCAAATCTCCTGCAGTCGGAACAGAAGCACTCCTCATCCTCTTTTGGGTGTTTCCTACATTTACGGTACCTACGAACTGATACCTTTCCTGATAGGATCTCACTCATGGCTAAGACCTCATGACTGATGAAGTCTGACCACTGAGCGTGTGTGTTGTGGCAAGTAATACAGAGATACTTGCTACAGTCTTGACAGTAGACAACAGCTTGGGGTTTGTTCTCCGTTTTACAATTCGTGCAAAACTGGAATTGGTTCTTCACGTCTTCTATGAGAGACTTCAAAGCTAAATTTGCCGGTAATTTGCTGACATCTTGGTTTGGGACCTGGGTTTTAGCTCTGCAGACAGGGCATCGGAGCATTTGGTCGCCATGGTATTCCAAGAGGTTGTCCAGACAGACCTTGCAGTAGGTGTGAGAACAAGACAGGATCTTGGGATCGGTGAAGGTATTCAGACATACAGGACACTCTAGACTCTGAGCAATAACATTCTTTAATGCATCAGCCATGATTCGAAATCTACAAGAATACGAGATAAAAGAAAAAGAAAAATCTTAATAATTAGTGTAGCTTTGATTCATCTGATCGTATTAAAAGATACACAGTGTTTCATTTTATTCATCAACTGTAGTTTTGAAAAATGAATTTTTAAAAAAGGTTTCCTTTGTGGCTTTACAGTCAATTAATTTACATTGTAGTGGGGTAAATGATGATAACAAAAATAATGCCAATAATAATACTGATGAGGATAATAATAAAACTACTGGGGCTCAAGAAGGTGCACTTCTAGATACAACACGCTTTTTTACGAAATGAGAAAACCCGAGGATAAAAGCAGATAATTATGTCTCCTGTAATTATGTCGTTCTGATTTTCGAGCGCACACGGATGCACTTTTTCAGCAATTACATTTCATTTCTTTATTGTGTCCATAGGATAATTGATTTGCAGTGTGCATAATGTGGGGTCCCTCTTGCAAGACGTGTAGCCCCCCCCCCCCCCCCCGGAAAAAAGCACACAAACAACAACAACAAACAAAGATGGATAAAAAGGGGAGAAATAGATAATTTGTGTGAGTTATAAATGCAGTTACCGCGGCTCAGCGTAAATTGCATGGTTTGACCGCCGTGACACTTGCATTGGAACCTTATACAAAGAATTTCAAACGTGAGCTTATTATCTGTCTAGAGTTTTCATCTGTGTACCTTTATTTGAGAGTACATCGCACCAAGTATTACAAATTATTATGATCCGTAATCTACATGTACCTTCAGATATGGAAATAAACATACCTTATTCTAAACAGGGGGCTTATGGCTTTGGACAACAGTAGGCTACTCTAAAACTTAGCAGGCAACACATTTTACTTCTAAAGTGGATGAAGTATCAAAAGCGATACTCTAAACATGAAGGCAGGCGCGGATCCGCTGGGGGGGGGGGGGGCCTGGCCAAAAAAGAAGAAGAACAAAACAAATTATTTAAAACCAAAATTCTAACGAATTAGGCAAACAAAAATAGTGCTCTTACCCCCCCCCCCCCTCCCCCTCCCCCCCCCCCGGATTATTCACCGGCTGGCAAAGCTTTTGTTGTTGTTTAGATTTCTTATTGTAGTCTGTTTCTTCATGATTTACTAAACTGATAGCATTTCCTATACAAACGCCATTCTCATATTGGTCTTAGCGCAATCGCTCTTCATCAATCACCACTAAGACATCTAGACCACTGAATTATACAGCATGTAACGAAGAGTTCAGTGATCTAGACCCAGACTCATTATTTCAGTCTAAGGAAAACTAGGATTTTGAAAACCAAATACAAACAAAGCCTCATAAAGTGTTTTGGAGTCTGCCTAATCTAGTATATATACGTCGATGTAAAAACGAGAGTATTGAAAAATATCTCCATATTTCTTTTGGAAATGACAGAGACATTTTTAATGCACTCACCTCTTTTTGTGTAGCTACGTGTCGGTCTAGGTGTTATATCAAATCAGTAACCATATATACTCCTTGCCTTTACGATGTGGAAGTGTTGCACTGTTGTACTTTATATACATGTATGTATTTAGGGGTCCCGTATTTAGTGTGGCAGTCTATTTTAAGGTACTGGGAATTTCCACCGACCTTTGACAGACAATTAGATTGAAGTTTTGATCGTCCTAAAAGTAATCGCCCAATAAAAAAAGTCGATCTCATTTTGTTAAGCGTCTGTAGTGCCAATAGATGCCCGTGTCAAATTTTAATCATATTTCTGTTACCCCCCCCCCCCTCCCCCATTACATAAACATTCTAAAGTAAGAGTCATATTACTGTTGTCAAAGATTCGTGGAACGGTTCTTCTTTCAGATCACAGGTGGAATGTTTGAGATGGCGCTAAAGATGGAAAAGAGAAAAGGAAAGAATATATCCAATCTTTGACCTTTACATACAGTATAGGCCGATGTGCGTCATAAGGTAACAATACAAAGCAAACAGTTTTCAGTGAGCGAGACCGAAAAATCGCTCAAAACTAAAATCGTTAAACGCCGTCGAATAGTTTTTGGAAACTCAATGTGAAGTATTCATACATCTACATGTACATCACCTACTTTGTATACTGGCGTTGATATCCAAACTTATTTATAAGCGCCGTAACTAATCTGACACCAACAACAAAACTCTCTACACGAATGACGATAGATTGCTAGTCTACTCCAGACAGATCTGAATTATAATCATGATAATCTGTGTTTATTTTACAGGAAGAATAAACAGAATAACAGCTCATTAATCCATGGACCCAAACTACATTCGTGTTTTAAAAATAAAATTTGATGCAATTATGAGTTTGCTTTTAAATATTACCACCTCTTATTTTGAGTGCTACATGAAGTATTTTTCAGCACTTATTTAAAGTTCGAGTTATCTCTTTCAGTTTTCGTATGGTAGGAATTATGCAAAGGCAGTGGGATTTAGAGCTAGAGAGAGATCAACCCGGCATTGCACAACGCAAAATGGTATGTTTCCTTTAAGGACCTAATTTCTTGCTGTGGCTGAATATTTTTCGGTCCCCCAAGCGGTGGTTAAAGCCGATGCGGAAGATTTATTATCATAATTTGTTTATAAATCATGTTACCCAGCTATATTTGGATAGCGTTGCCGTGACTGTTGATTATATTTCTTCGTTTAAAGTATGCCCGCTTTTCACTTGGTTTTTGCTCACAAAAAACCGCAATTTTTTTTCTGTGAAATGTAGAGCTATGAATCTTTTTCTGTAATGGGATATGACATACTGACTAAATGTTAGATTATAATCATGATAAATACAATGAATAGAGGAGTTAGTACACGATACAATTATAGTAAGTAAATCTACAATCACATTTCCGATAAAAAAAAATAATACTCTTATTCTCCTTCCGTATCTGAATTATTTACTGTATACTCTATGTTGAAATAATTGTTACATATATCATGTATATATACATTGTGTTTTATATTGTGCTTTTGAGAAGGAAATAAATGTTAATAAATACAAATAAATAAATACAAAATAAGCAGTTTTCAACCTCATTCATGCCATAAATGAAAACAAAAAGCGTTAAAACCGACTTGAGAGCATCGTTTTTCAAATAATTTTGGCAACATAATTATGAAAGAGTTATTTTTTTCTCTCAATAATCTTCTCTGACTAGCATACATTACCTTAAAATTAAGCTAAAGGCTTTGACTAATTCTTATGACTGTGTACCTGTTCGATAATTTCAAAGCTCATTATAGTACATGTACCTCGAAATCGATAAGATAAAGGCGTTGGTGTACATTAGGTATTATTATTTCTCAATGTTTGTTTGGCACCTTTTACCTTATACAAATATGGATATAATTATATACAACTGTATACACCTTTGGAGGGGGAAATATTGGTGTTGGCGACGCCATGGCCATAATAACGCACCGTCTAGATTGCTCGGAGCGGTCTCACATTACGTGGGCAGGTAAACATATTACAAGCAAATCATGACAGGTCAATAGAGGTTAAAGGGAAAAAGAATGGTAAAGAGCAAAAACAATTTGCGATGCATCAAGTGCACGTACATTTACAGGCTATCACAAGAGAGAATGTGAATTTATAAGAATAACATATGTTACAACTTTGTGATACGTTACTGCAACAGCAGGCAGGTGTTTTATTGAACGGCTTTATAGATGGAGAGGTGTATTTTTCGCAGTTATATTTTTCTTCCCGCGGGTATGCAATAATATTCCTGCCGTACTTTGGCCTGTATTACTATGAAGGTAAAATGAATAACACGAAGTGAGGTATAGATTATAAGCTATAGATTTTTCACACTAAGAGAGGAAAGTGGATGTTGTTTTCAAAGAAAAAAAATTGACGGAGGATGAGAAATGGAGTGGGAGAAAAGGGGCGGAAGAAGGAAAAAAAGGTGAGGGATATAAAAAGCGGTAAAGTGAGCTAGAGGAAACGATTTGTAAGATAGAAGAGAGGGGTAACGGTGAGGGAGGAAGGGGAGAGGGAAATAAAGCGAGAAATTGCGAGACTATGAAAGAGAGAATAAAAGGACTGGAGAGATCGGGAGAGAGAGAGAGAGAGAGAGCGGAGAAATGAGAAGAAAAAGGGACGGGAGAGGAAAGAGTGAGAAAGAGGGGATGAAATAAACGCAGAGATTAATGTTATAACTTGAGCCAGCAGCATTGACGCGTTTGCAAGATTGCTACGCAGTCATATTTCCCTATGGCAGAAAAACAACGAACCTTGTCGGGGGAATAAATGTTTATTAACCAGGGGCCAAAAGATGTTTTTGTGCCAGGAAATGTAAAAGGTTGGTGGGTATTGACATGAACAGGGAACCTGCCTGCACAATTTCTAAAAGGCCTACCTCGAAAAAGTGCTGCTAAAAAAAAGGCCGCCATTTTTCAAGATGGTCGACATGTATATGTTAAACGATTTTGGAGATTAATTTTTATCAGAACATCATTTTAACATGAGTGACGTGGCATACGAAATATAATTTAATTCCCACAATGTGATAACATGTTTACTAGTCTTAATGATGAATTGCATAATAATTTGAGCCAAAATAATGTGATTGTGTTTTACAATATTTCCAGAAAACATTAATTGCACCTGAATACATATTTCTCCATATCTAACAAATCGTCATCACTAATGAGTTGAGACTTTCTCGAAAAGTGCCCACACATATAGTTAATATTATATTCAAATAACAAAAAGTTATAGCGCTCTATTAAAACAAGCACTTTGATATGATCCAAAGTGGCAATTTTGGTTGCTATTGGCTGCCTTCTCCTTAGCAACGGTAAAATAGCGAGATGAAAAATCGAACTTAACGCTATCAGATGATATCATCAAGCAGATTACTATTTTGATAGGAAGTGTGACGTCAGATGATAGTTTTGTCAGACTTTGATATTTAAATCTCTCTTAGCTTCCGCTGCTATGGTAATAATATGCATAACAACTGATGAATTGTGTGCTCGGAAACCAA